TAATAAATAATCAACAGTCTAACTCTTCTAACTGCTCTATCAGCATTTTTGCCAGACGCTATTAAATGCTAATGTAATTTCATTCATTTTGGTTGCATTACAGACTTAAGAATATTCGTTTTTTAAGAAATTATTCGATCGTTCGAAACCTGATGTATCACGTATGAATATTTACATTAAAAGAGTTGCTAAAAATATGTACTTCCCGTTGAATTTGAAACAAACAGGAAAGATTCAAATATAAGTAGACACCACATCCTGTTATGTACTAAATCATTTCGACCGCAGCGTCGTTCGTCGACGAACTGTGAAACTCAGATTTCATTTTACAGAAAGAGAAGGAGAATATCGATTTTCTCTGTCTTTCCTACAGCGGCGCGGGAGACGGCATTTTAAAAGAAACGAAGAACTTTTAAATGATTGTCAAGACAATTTTAATAAATTGGACTTAGATTATTAAATCCTAACCTAAATAATTTCTAAATCGAGCGAACCTATCCCTTCGCACGTTCAAATTACGAATACTTCGAATGACATTTATTCCGACTACGTTTCAACGCAACGTATAAAGTATTATACGTCCGAAACAAGTAAAAAGGTCATCATAACAGCGAATAAGTATAAAAGATTGTAGAGAAAACTCGTAAGAGTACTACGAGTGCGTCAGACACGTCCAACAAGTAGTTGAGCAGACATATATTTGTTAATGGGAATTAATAACGAAAATAGAAGAATAGTAGTGTGGGAATAGTAATTATAGTACTTACGTAAAATAATAAATGCGTTGTAACCAAGAATTTGCACTTTACACCGGTAAAAATTACATACGCGCACTAGACATGCAATTGCAAATGGCGGACTGAGCTGGGAGAGTGGGAGGTCACGTGACCACGCTGTAACCACGTGACCATTCGGTGATCACGTGACCACGCTGTAACCACGTGACCATGCGGTGATCACGTGACCACGCTGTAACCACGTGACCATGCGGTGATCACGTGACCGCGCTGTAACCACGTGACCATGCGGTGATCACGTGACCACGCTGTAACCACGTGACCATTCGGTGATCACGTGACCGCGCTGTAACCACGTGACCATGCGATGATCACGTGACCACGCGCCGGTAGCCGCGAAAATTCAAAACGACGCCGCGCTCGACTTTCACCATCAGCTACATCTAAGTTTCATTATTCCTCAAATATTACAATACTGGATTACAAATGAAACTCGGACAGTTTATTTACTGTCTTTTCCCTTCGAAATTCTACTTTTCGACTCTTTTTAGAGAGACGCTATAAAGTACGTTGCCTAGCAACCGCGAGAGAACCCCACTTAGCGGCCGGTTCAAAGAAATTCCATACAATTCAAAGTGCTATTTCCCAGTAAAATAATAACTGAATTCTGAGAACACGCGGTAAATGATTGACAAAATATTATAGACACAAATTTCAGGAACTTGTCTACACATATTAATATGAAGACGAGATCGTAAAATATCGAATAATTCCATATAATTATTGCCTTTCGTCGGCAGACGTACACATTAAAACGTTATTTACACACCATTCCTTGTACATTCTTTATACACCTTTATAAAAATATCTATGATCTCTAATAGGAACGTGTCTCCTCGATGAGTTCACTGTCGGTATTGATGCGGCTTTAAAAATACGATTTTCAAGCAGAGTCCAAAAGCTCATCGATATATTTACAAACCGGGATCGAGTGGTGAAGATTTATTCGCGAAATTAATATAGTTTCACTACACGTTCCGAGCTGCCGCAAATATTTCAACGACAAGAGGTTATGAGCGAGCATTCCTACTAACGGCATGCTGTGCACTTGAATCGGTACTGATTTTAACAAGAATTAAAAGTGATCAATCAAAATGAGGTGGATATCTCCAAAATTCTCGTTACCCGTTTTACTCGGCTTGTCTCTAACAAGCATGGGCATTGCTATGCTGTATGTACTATACAAAAAGGTAAGGAGGCTAAACAATTATTTAAATCTCGATTTTTGAAGCTAATCGTTAATTAATTGATTTTTAATTAAACAGGAAGAGGAGGAAAGTAAATCGAAAGTATTTAAAACACAGAGGCCAAATACAGTGGAATACAAAGTGCAACGACAGCACGTGCCTGCCGTTATTGGGAGAGCTGGGTCAACGATAAAAGCCGTGGAAGATAGAACAAGGACGAAGATACACTTTAACGAAGACAACATCGAGAATCCTGAGCGCGTTTGCAAGATAACTGGAAGCTTGGAAGGTATAAATTTGGCCAAGTCTATGATCAAGTCTATCATCGACAATCAGCCTGTGATCGAGACGTACGAGATACTAGTGCCTCAGAGAGCTTGTAATAAAATAATAGGAAGAAACGGTGAAACTAAACGACAGATTCAAGCGAGCTCCAGTGCTAAGATCATCCTGGAGGGCAGCTTCTCTCACGATACTAGTAAGTGAATCTCGTCTACGTTTATTTTCAATGTTTTAACAACCGTTTGTATTTCACAGATGCAGAAAGGAGGATCATTATAAAGGGAACGGCTGAGCAGATCGCCGCGGCTTTATCACAGATCGAAGAAAAGGTTCGCGAAGTGAAGGCAATACATACCAGGTTGGAAGCTTCCTCAGCTTCTAGGCAGCCTAGAGGGAAACTGTCTCCACATGGCAGCAGAGTCAACGCGTCCGAACAAACCCAAGCATCGCCTGAAATCTCGTCCTTACAAGGTAAAAAGGGAATGGTGTCTCTTTATTTGTTTTATATAAATTCCGTTCTTAGTTACAGACTGCACGATGGAAGTGTACGTATGTGCCATGGATACACCTAGTCAATTCTGGGTGCAGGTAGTCGGATCTGGAACAACGGCCCTCGATAAACTCGTGTCAGAGATGAGCGCGTATTACAGCGACGAGGAAAACCAGCAGCTACATACGCTGAGAAATGTACGTTCTATTGATGAGCGTTTAGGATATGAATTACTAATCGTATATCGTTCTGGTTTAGATAACGATCGGGCAAATGGTCGCTGCGAAATTCAGCTTCGACGAGCAGTGGTACAGAGGAGAGATTATTTCTATAACCGAGGACAACCGATACGATGTTTACTTCGTCGATTACGGGGACCACGAGCTGGTGAATTTCGAGTACGTGTACGAGCTTCGGACCGACTTCCTCAGCCTGAAATGGCAAGCGATCGAGTGCTCGTTGGCGAACGTGAAGCCGCGGTAAGTCAATCTTTCGTATTAAAAATATTTATTGATACGTTAATAATAATAATAATAATTTGATGTCAATTACTCAATTCGCTGTCGTCCATGTTACTCGATCTCGAACTGCCGATACCAGCCTCGCAGATCTCATTGAACAATTCCGGATTCACTTGCTCCATCATCTTCCACGCGAGGCTTTTATTCAACACTGTGATGTTCTCCTCGCAGTAAGCTAAACTGGCTCTCTTGAGCGCGTAGCAATCGAACTCGTCGGCGACCAGAAGCCTACTCGCTATATTCTCCGGAGTTATCGTCTCTATCAGATTCCTTTCGCACAGTTCCTTTAATCCTGCATCACAACGTACGACGGTTCTTAGTAAATCGAACACGTCCCTCTCTCACACTGCGTACCTTGTAAAGAGAAACGCTCGGCCAGAGACAAAAGCTGCGGTGCAAAATTATCTAAATTGTCAACGTGATCGCTGTAAATGTATCGCAACAATTCCTCCGTCACGTCTTTACTGAGATCCAACAAATCCAGCGAGAAAGGATAATTCTACAAAAGAACGAGAAAGAACGTGAAGCTCAGAGAACGACCAGAGTAAGTCATACGATTAAACACACTCACCAACGAAATTAGAGAGCATCTCGAGAATTAAAAATATTGAATTAGTACAAAGATTAATAAAAGAAACACACTGCAGAACTACGGAATTAATCTCAAACGATGTTATTGTCATTAGAAGAACTTAAAACAGATTAATTCGTTTAACGAGGATCGGTACAGAGAAACGCCTGGGACGTACGTTTGAACGACTGATCTCTTTCTGGGTATCCGATTTACCGTCTGTACCCTCAGACTCTTTAATCATGCCTGCAAGGACGTTGCTGCGTGCAGCCAGCACGCTGCTGTGAACAGGAATCTCTGTGCTGGTTAAATCCCCGCAAATCAATTTGGTATCAGCGCCGTACGGATGCTTCAACAATCTAGCCATGTCCTACAATATTACAAACGATTCCTGTTGATGATGAATGCATGTGAAACGCAGAGAAAAATACACACTTGCGACAAGTTGTGTTTCTCGCTGTCGTATTGGATTATCTGAATCTTAACCATGAGCACCACCTCGCCGTTCTGTTTTAAATGTCTGTCGACGATGGATAAATCCCTATAGCCCAATGAAATGATGTCTGTGTACGATTTCAACTCGAGTATTGTTCTGCTAACGTGGCAGTACTCCCAGTGCTTGACGTCTGCATTGAAAACTGCAAATTGAAATCGTATCTTGGCTTGTTCCGCTTCGTCTACGGTGCAGTTCAACATGTTCAGGCACAATACCACCGGGTTTATCATTCTCTTGCCTGTTGCCAAACAATGGAGGATTCTCTCTTTTAATAAACGTCGATTTAAGAGTTAAACGTACGAACGTTTCTTACCATCAGGATTCTTCCAGAATCTGATGGACAGAGTCCAAGTGCTATGAAGACCGTTTACGTTCACGTCGAACGACGGGCTGTCGATGGAACTTTTCTTAGAGATAGTCCTTTTGTAATTAGGAATCGGCCACGTGTATTTAAATATGACGTCCGAGACCGTCGGTACCAGCAGCTCCATTCTACGTTAGTTAAACGAGAAAGCCTGCAACGATCAGCATTTCAGATCTCTCTGATTATGTTCGTTTTTTTTTTTTTGTTTCAATTTGTCTGCGAGGCTATAATTTCCGTGGCATAATTGCAGACTAGCTGCGGGGTTCGTGAAAGTGCGCAAAACGCTTTGCCAATTGTTGGGATGCATGCACGGGCGAACTTTCAGGGCATAAATCGTGAGTTGTACGTTGGACACGCGTGCGAGCCGTGGCTGGCCGACTGCCATTGCCCGATCTTAATTTATCTTTATTCAACGAGCCTTCCTCAGCACGTGCACGTTTTTTTTTCATTCGAGTAAACAAACAAATTAGTGTATCTGAACTTCATGGAATGTTTTAATTTTTGTAGGAGTTATGGAAATCTTAACACTAGATTGGCCAAGGAAGTAATTTTGACTGGTTTTGGGCAAATGTACAAATAATAATGCATAAATTATTTTTTTTCCCTAGCGAAGTAAATTTTTTTTATTGTTAACATTTACTAATAACTTGTTATATGACTGTAAATAATATAAAAAATATTAAAA